TCCAAAGTCAGGGAAAGTCAGAGGTCAGAGTAATCGAGGAAATAAGCCAAGGTTGGAAGCCGGATCAGTCTGAGAGAACACAGGATCAAGATACAAACAACAGGAACCAAACAGTAGAACCAGAGTCAATGAACTGACGAAGTTCCCAGGGCGAGGCAGTGCTTATATATCCAGCTAATAATGATCTGCTTCAGGTATGCTAGATAGACATGAGCAGCCACGAGTAGAGTTCAGCCCCCAGTGCTGGAGATAAGGCAAGGCTGGACATAGGCAAAAACATGAATAGATGAGAGGCTCAGAGGAAAGAAAGCAGGGCCAAAGCAGCAAGAGTTCAAAGCCACCCGGAAGATAAGCACATCTGGCCTTCCACATGTCACGATGGAGATCATGACAGGAAACCCATTATGATAGGAAACAGAATGTGATAGGACATCAGTAAGAGGGGGATCTTTGATCTCACCATCAGACGTGCCACCTGTCTCCTTCCTGCCACCCAAGGCCATGGCTTTTATATATGTTTTTTATTAATTAAAATGTGAATACACAAGAAAGAATTTTTGAAGTTAAGTGTGGTTCACAATACACAGTTTGTATAAAAATGCTCTAATTCATGATTATACACAGCTAATCAGTGTCAAGTCGATGCAATACCTAAATCGGAAGAAGGGAGCTCCGAAGGTATACAAGCAACCCGTGACTGATTACAGACTGATCCTCCTATTAAGGAGAACACACAAAAAATGGAACAATTCTATGCTAACTCTTCTTTTTGTTGTTTGTTAGTTTCTAGTCCGCATAATTGTTCGCAGAGACAGATGATTTAAAGTAGAAATTTATTTTATGAATACATTTTGGGCAGCACAGCAGCACATTCGTGCAAGATTCATGTTCTGGGTGTGCCCCAAATTCCCTTTTGTTTTTACTGTGATACAGACAGCGTCACATCCAGGGCCGTCTTTAATGAGGGGCAAACAGGGCCGCTGCCCTAGGCCCAGTTACTCCTAGGGGCCCCAGAGCAGCTGCCCCATGGGCCCTTCTTGCAGTAGCGGGGCCAAAACAAAATCTCCCATTAGGGCCCTTTCTACTTTAGTTCTTCCACTGTATTGGGGTGGATGGCATGATTGCATGCCAGGGAGTGGATGGGTGCAGGGTCCCCAAGAAAATGGTTGCCCAGGATCTGGTCAATATTAAAGACGGCCCTGGTAACATCAGCAAATAGCATCTCTGGGAAGTAAGAAAAGAAGCAAACTATGTCTGATCTGTTCTTTGTGGCTACAAGTCACGCAAACGACTGTTGGGTATATAAATGTTGGCTTTTGTTGTACACTGGAAATACTGCAGAATAGAATTCTGGAGTCTTTGAAATAATGGAACCCACAAGACCTGTGGAACTCACCATTAAAATTCAAGATAACATTTACAGCTACATTTGGCAGAAACTGACGATGAAACAAACACATTAAAGTCTCAAAATGTATCCTATTAAAGCCCAATTTGGCAAATGGTATTCCACGATGTGAGTAAATTGCTGTTGAGGCTTGTATTTTTCCCCAAAAGAAACATGGGCCTAGGGAATCAGCCAGAGAAAACAGAAAATCTAAAAACTTTACAACATGTTATTCATTCTATCTCTCCCGTTATTAGATTAGATTACATTAGATAAACAAAGTCTTCTCTTTCTCTTGTTTTTTATGGATTTTCGCAACCAAGATCCAACATAGGGTTGAACATACCTGACATGTCTGCAATTTATCTGAGCAAAATGTCTCATGTAGGGAATTAAAATAATCAAATGGGTCTCAGGTAGGAACATTTACACAACCTCTATATTAGATCAAAATCTATTCCCGGAGGTTGCCTTGTCACAGCTGTTGCACACACTGTCCTTAGACCTACCATCGGCTTATAGAGAAATCTGCTACTTTACACTATACGAGCTCGGAAATTAGTCAGACTGAAATTAGATCTTAACTTGCTATATTATTTTATAACAACCCTCAATTTCAATATGGAGAAACGTAATTATATTTTCTACATTAGTCAGGGGCGGATCTGAGAATGATCTGGAACTGCATAACTGTTTCAACTACAATGCTACTTAACCCTTACAAACATTACCTACAATTCATATCTAAAAAATGTTTTATCTTATCTTCAAATTACTAGCTTCAATCTATTATTTCTCATCTAACTGACACTGACTGGTCATATTCTAGTAACACTTACATGACCCACTGGCTCTCTGACTCATACTCAAAACGTATTCGTAATTGGATTCGTACATTCTTTGTGTAGAGCTCAAATTCTCTGGAACCATCTGGATGGGTTTTCCCAACTTGGACTTTTCAGATATTTCCTTGGCCTTTCTTGTTTTGTATCAGCTTAACCTGGTGCTGACATATTAGGAAATTAATTTGAAAATTCGTCATTACACTTATTATTCTATGAAGCAATCACATAGACTGATTAAGCCAGTTCCCAAATTGTCCCAAATGTGGAGGAGAGCAATTGTCCCCTGTCTTTGGTTCTTTTACTGGATGATCCAATTTTAAAGCAAATGTTCAAATCTTCCACTGAGAAAGACAACGCCGCCCTCCTTTTCCAGTGGTGAGAGAGTCCCAGGTAATCGGGGGCTTGGCACACTACAAATGAGTTGGGACGGAGGGGAGTCTGGTTTCTTTTGAATTCTTTGTAGCAAAATGAGGCCACCGCCTACTGCTCTGACTTATTATTTCTGGATAAGCTTTTAAAATGTTTCATTACTGTTAGAAAAACTTTCTTATAGAATTATCTACAAAAACCATCAGAGACTTTTATGGTGCCTTCTATAGATAAATCATTGAAAAGTTTTTCTTACACATTTGAATCATTTGGAAGGCTTATTAAACCGAGACCTATATATCCTACTATATTATGTGTGGTTTATGTGCTATGAATATTGCAAATTATTATAAGTTTCAATTAAATAGTTTAAACTAAAACTCAATAATGGTAGTGCATATTATAAGCTAGTGATACATGTCCTTAGGGCAGCCAAATTATCTTTACAAAAGTAATAAAAAATATAACAAACTGAAAACATGGCTTACTTATTCTAGTTTAAATGGGCTGCTAAGTCGTGATTGTCAAACGAGATATGTTATTTCATACGGGCAAAAAGATATACCGTAGATAAATATAGACACAAACACCACTGTGCCGCATAGTTCTGAATAATATCACAACTAAGTCTGCTTTTAATTCAAACTGACTTTTTAAAAGGAATTTTCAATCTATTTTCCTATTTATGAACGATGTATTATATTAGTGGAAATTATAAATATAAATGATTAGTGATGTACACTCATTCATTCACTCACAGGGTGAGCTCCTATGCTGGCATACCCAGAACAGGTCTGGGATGACAATCTGCAATAAACTCCCTTTTAATCTGTGATTATTTAAACATGTCACACTGTGGAAGATCTGAACCTCGTGTCTTCTACAAAGGGGCTATCTTCAGTGGAAGCTCGGAGGTGCAGAAGAAAGTGGGTACTGTAGGAATGATAGGTGTATGCTATGTTTTGGTGGGTGTTGTAGGACGGATATCAGTCTGCTATCTGGATTGTGGGCACCTTCAAATTAATCTGCGGATGCTTTATGGATGGCAGGTGCATATTTTGAAAGTTGCCTTCAGAGAACATCAATTTATAAATTAATCCTTGAACTAAAAAACAATGCTAAGAAACATCATAAAATTGTCTTGTAATGGAAGCAACCATGATTACATGCTGGTTACAAATTGAAAAACAGTTTACTATAATGCCAATGTTCTTAAAGAAAACATAGGTACTTAACTCATTTCGGCATTTCCTCCTTATATCAAGTGTGAATATTTAAGGTCGGATCTAACTATTTAAACATATTTAACAAGTAATTATTTTGCTTGTACACATCTTCTATATGCCATAATTATTTACTTCCGAAAAAATTGAATCTTACAGCAAGTCAATGTAAAATGGTAGGATTATTTTCCTGCTTCAACTTTCTTTTATTTTTTTATTCAGGAATATATATCGACAAGAAACATGTTCCCATAAATGGGGCAATGTTACATCCATGATAAGCATGGTACAGCTTGCTTGAGTTTTCATATTTGGGCACTGCTGAGGTAAGGCTAATGTTGGTGTCTCCCTCAAACCCCAAGTTGCATTATAACAAGTCTACCCTAACCCTAAGTCTCCCTCAACCTGGCGTGTCCTTCCATTGCGCTTTAAACAATTGTTAATGTTTTAATGAAAAATGAGTGTCCTCAGGAGCCCATCCCCTTTTTGTTGCTGGGGCTAATGAGAAAGCCTTATCCTGACCAGCAATTGGTGGCTGTGATTGGATGAGAGTGTCAGCTGACCGCTTGTAGCCTATCACAGCGCCCATTGCTTGTATGAATTGGTATGGAAAGAAGTAAGTGTGTAATCTCTGCCATAACTCTTGTTGGGGCTGGACTATGGAAAGCCAGGTAACCTTATTCAGTGTTAAATTGCTTGAAAATGGTTTAACACTGAATGGAGGGACAATGCCAGAAGACTCCAGGTACTATAACCAATTCAATGAGATGAAATGGATATGCTGCCTACAGTGTCTGTTTAACGCCTCCTAACTTTCTCCCGCCCCACGCCAGTCTCCCTCCACCCTGAGTTCCTGTAAACCAGTTTTATGGGTTACACTGCCATTTCTTGTATCATTATATCACCAGGTAAATCACTACAGTAGTGCTTTATAAAGCACTATGCTATGGTGGAGACTTGTAAGTAAGGAGTTAACGTGAAACCTCAGATAGTGGTGTGACTACTGGGGTCACTCCGCAAGCTAAAAGAGAGGACGTTTGCTAGTTGGGTGGGCAGTAATATGTTAAAAAAGTTGTGCGTTCCAGATTACTCCTAAACTGAGAACAAGAAGAAGAAAAGAAGAAACAAGACATAAATTGCAAACAACTATAATTAAATCAAAATTCAATTTCAAGCCAATAATAAAGCTATTAAAAATAATTTTTACGCAGTACACACAACTCATACCAACAACAACAAAAAACATGCAATAAAATATAATTAATGTAAGAAATAATTAACATAATATCAGAACATTATTAGACATATCATTATAGATATCCAGACAAATTTGGTGAAAATCATAAAGCAACATTGAGGGAAACGGTATATCTAGACGTGTCAAAATAGATGATACAGAAACACCTACAGAAATTGATTTTTATTTAGACATTTTAACATCCTCTCAACCATTAACTGTTTTGTTTTTTTTGTATTAAATACATTTTTTTTGTGTGTTTTCCGCTAAAACCGTTATGTTCGGATTATTTTGAAGACGACAAAGATAGTCAACTTGGAAAGTAGAAGGAAATTTAATAGAAGGAAGGCAGATCGTGTAAGAAGAGGGTGCCTTCTGCAGGATGGACAGCTGGTTGTTCTCTGTGTAGATCACTCTTTAATTATCCACCAGATCACCAGGATAGTGAGAAGGATTTTAAAGGACATCCTTGCAGACACAGCTGAGTTACAGAGATCACTATAACAGCAATGCGTTTTTATTCCCTCTATAGAGGCGCCGCAGATAATTGTTGGTACACAATCTTTTAAAACGTCTGAAAAAAAACAAAAACAAATTCAAAGCAAATAAATTATCTTATAGCATGTGACTGTCTTATTTGGATGTGCCTGGCCTACAGCCTGACATTTTCAGATATTCAGTTGACTCCAATAAATATATTTCTAGACTTTCAAGTGTCATGCTAATGACATGCTTCTCACTATATTAGTAAAGAAGTAATCCAGGCACTCCAAAATGTTCCAAAGAGTAGGCAATTTTATTGGACCCAAGAACCAAAATGCAACGTTTCGACCCCTTCGGGCCTTAATCAAGCCTTTACTTTTCTACTAATATATACTTTTCTACTAATATATGCTATATCTGATCTCTTGGTACTGGGACTGATCCAAGAGCACCCTAGGATTCCAAGGCGAAGGGCTGAGTGTAGTTCCACAACTTGTTTATGGATGCTTCTCACTATGACCAGACTGACTTAAGATTACTATGTAACTATATAACATTGGCCCACATGCATCATTAAAGCAATGCTTCCTGGCACCTCAATGTGAGACAGTATGTTGTCAGACTGCAACCAATCACAGAGTTCTCCAAGTAATTATTAAAGGAACACTCCACTGATTTTTATTTATTTAGACAATTTAGTAGGTATACCCACAAATAAAACATGTAAACATGAAAAAAATCTTGCAAAAGCTGCAGACCTGCTATCTGCAGCCTTTGCAAAACCTTCCCTCTTTCTCTAACTCAGACTGAAAGTACACCAATCCAATACAACGCTCATTGAGAAGCCTCTGAGATGGAGCCGAGAGTCCTCAAACACACATCACTGATTTGAAGTGGTCATTGTGCTTAGAGTCTGGATGTGCAGTGTTGCAATAAGAAAAGCCATACATACAAAGTTAAGCAATTTGAGGCCAGAGTTTGTAGTCAATGTTAGAGTTGTGCATACTGGGTGAGTGCTATCAGCATGCATTGCTTCCTTGTGATAGATCACCAATGGAGGCATGGCCCCATCCATTCATCCCAATTCCGTCCCTCAGCCACTTCTTTAAGATGGCATTCTCCCTGTAGTGGGTAATGATATCACTGGCTGAGGATCGGGCTGGAGGGAGAATGTGGCCTTGGCATGGCATGGATTTTCAGCGCCAAACCGGACTTTGGGGTGTTTGTACGTTATTTGTAGATATACTGTGTGTATATATTCCGTTTGGTTCATATCAACAAGTATTTACTGTGAAAAGTTACCATTTCGTTTTATGCACGTTTATTATCTGCACTGCTTTATTTAGGTGAATGAGTTCCTTGTTTTTTTTTCTAAAGCCAAAAAGAGTGATTTAAGAAAACATGCTTTTTTTTTTAATTGACATAACCCTCTAAGGAGAGCAATTATTGAGCAAATGTTTAGAAGTGAAGCAGTCACCATGCAAGCTATTAGAATGTCTGATAATTCCAGTTTGTCAGCGTATCACAGTTCTGTTTATAAACAGGATCCATAAAATGTCTCCCTATGGGAGGAGGACTATGAGACAATTTAACTTACAATTTTGATATGTTACTTGTCCACAAGCTTCCCCCGAATAGCAGTTTGTAACCGATAGATTTGCACATGTATGCCCTGATTCATCACATTTATAACAGATCAGAGAGTTACCTATTGAAAAGAGAAAGAGTAAAATAATGGCCACGTTTTAATAAACATTACATTGTGTGAAGAGAGGTCTCTACATGAATATTATTGGTTCTGGGAATACATTCTCACAAATGGGATTCCAAAAGTAGCGCTAATATCTTTTACTTGTTCAAACTTTCAGAAAACCCATTGGAAGTTGAAAGGTTTGAATGCAAGCAGGTTCATCCTGTTACTTAGTGTAGTTTCGTAGCTAGATTGGAGAGTTTAGACAGCCGATCGAAGCTTAGAGAAATCTTTCCTGCTTAGCTGAGAGCACATTGAAGTTCATCCGCTAAACAAAGAAATGCCGCAAGTTGAAAACTGAATGGTAAACTTTAGAAAACAATAACTGATTTGGTAAAAAAAAAACGAAAAAAAAAAATTCCTGTTACAGCACGGCTAGTAAAATTTGAATTTGGTCATTTGTTTTTTAATTCACTGCAGCATACCTCCCAAGATTTGGAAATATGGAACCAGGATGGCTCGGTATGGTGTCAAGTGGGTTCAGCCAGTGATGCAACTTGTGTTACTGGTGACACCCATAATGAGCGGGCCTGCCTGGGAAGTGGGCATGCCCACCCACTGAGATGCATGTCAGCCTGGTGTCAAGCATGCCAGAGTGAAAGACAGTCAGCGGTGGAACTACTGATGGCATTGCCGTAGGCCCACACACTGAAGGGGGCAGTGGCGTACTAAGGGGGGGGGGCGGTCCGCCCCGGGTGCCACTCACTAGGGGGGTGCCCGGGGCAGACTGCAATGCCTCTCCTGCGCCCATCTCCTAGACTGGTCTGCAGCTCCGCAGTTACCACGGCAATGCTCTGATTGGGTCTCGCGAGATCCATGGTCTGCAGCTCTGCACATTACGGAGCTGCAGACCCCCCTGCATGTCCCCCTCCCTCTCCTCATCACATCACCCCCCCTCCTCTCCTCATCACCCCCCTCTCACAATCACCCTCCCTCCCTCTCACAATCACCCCCTCCCTCTCATCCTCACCCCACCTCCCTGAGCTTCCTCTCACCCCCCCCACACCATCACCCACCCCCTCCTCGTCACCCCTCCAGCTCACAATCACCCCCCTCCCCTCACAATCACCCCCACTCACAAGCACACCCCCTCTCACAAGCACACCCCCTCCCTCTCAAAATCACCCCCTCACTCTCATCCTCACCCCCCTGAGCTCCCTCTCACTTCATCCCTCCCCAAACCATCACCCACCTCCTCACCATCACCCCTTCCCTCACACCATTATCCACTATACAAGCACACACACTGCATTCACTATACAAACACACACATACACACACTTATACATGTGTGTCTGTGTATTTGTATGTGTGTTGGTATATGTGTATCTGTATGTGTCAGTGTGTGTCTGTGTATCTGTTTGTGTGTCTGTGTATCTGTTTGTGTTTGTATCAATGTGTCTGTATGTGTGTGTGTGTTTTTATCTATATGTGTGTTTGTATCTGTGTGTCTATCTGTATGTGCCAGTGTTTGTCTGTGTATGACTGTTTTTATTTAACTGCATGTGTGTACCTATGTGTCTGTGTATGTGTGCCAGTGTGTGTATATGTAAGTATATGTATGTATGTATATGTGCATACAACTCAGCATTTTGCCTACACTACACAAATACAACTCTGCATCCAAATGCCAACACTACAAAAAAATCGCCACCATATTCAAAAACCACACTACAGGAAAATGCACGCCTGCATTCAACTGCCAATATGTGCAAACACACCTGTACATTCACATACACATACTCCATACAAAAATATGCTTACATTCAAACACACAAACAGTGCTTGGTGCTAAATACTCCAGATCCGCCCCTGGAAGGGGGCCCATTGGGTGATCGATGCCCTTAGGGCCACCCAATTGACAGTTTTCTTAAGGAGCCCAATCATGGGCAGAGGTCCTTTCACAGAAAAAACGGGGCCCTCAGAAGCGATAGGAGGAAGTAAGAGCCTGTCACTTCCTATTGTATAACAGATTGAGCATCACTGGTGGAAGAGGAAGAGAGAGCAGAGAGGATGGTGGGAAGGTGCAAACAGCTACTGCCAGCCTTTCACTCCCAACAGCCCCAGCCATGTGTGTTAGTATGTGTATATGTGTGTTTGTTTGTATTATCAGTGTGAGTGTCTGTATGTTTATCTGTGTGTCAGTGTGTGTATCTTTGTGTCTGTTTGTATTATCAGTGTGTGTGTCTGTATATTTATGTGTGTCAGTGTGTGTATCTCTATATTTGTCAGTGTGTGTTTCTGTGTATCTGCATATGTAACCGGGTTTGCATTTATGTGTCTGTGTATATGTATGTATGCCAGTCTGTGTTTGCATGTGTATCACTATGTGCATGTGTGTCAGTATGTGTAACTGTGTGTTTGTTTGTATTATAAGTGTGTGTCTGTATTTTATCTGTGTGTCAGTGTGTGTATCTCTATGTTTGTCAGTGTGTGTTTCTGTGTATCTGCATGTGTGACAGGGTTTGCATTCATGTGTCTGTGTATATGTATGTATGCCAGTGTGTGTATCTGTATGTATTACCAGTCTGTGTTTGCATGTGTATCACTATGTGCATGTGTGTCAGTATGTGTATCTGTGTGTTTGTTTGTATTATAAGTGTGTGTCTGTATGTTTATCTGTGTGTCAGTGTGTGTATCTCTATGTTTGTCAGTGTTTGTATCTGTGTATATGTGTGTGCATGTGTATCTGTTTGTGGTAATGTATGTGTGCATGTACATACATCTCAGCATCCAAACGTCAACACTACACACAAAAACACAATGTATCTCCACAGCGCGGCCTGTGCAGCAGCGTCTTAGTGAAAGGGTTGGGCTGAAGATTGGGACTCCACAGAGCCAGACAGCATGCTCAGGGGTGAGAAAGTATGTATTTGTTACTGTATACTTATGACTGTATGCCTGTGTCTGTATGACAGTGTGCTTGTATGGGTAGATTCTATGACTGTGTTTGATTGTGGCCTTTTAGGTCTGTGAGTCGGTATATTATTAGGACTGTGTGCCTGAATAACTGTGCCTGAGTGCCTGTGTCTTTCTGTATGTATGTCTTTTTGGCCGTATATCAATGTCTGTATGGCTGGGGAGGAAAGAGGCACACAAAGGGGCTCCGAGGGGGATAAACAAAGGTGCTGTGGGGTAGAAAGAGACAGAAAATAGGCTGTGAGTGAAAGAAACACAGAAAGTGCCTGAGGTAAGAAAGAGGCATACAAAGGAGCAGGTACACACAAAAAGGGGTGGGGAGAGGGAAACAGAAAAAGACAAAAAAGACACACAAAGGGACTGGGGAGAGAGAGAGAGAGAGAGACACACAAATGGGCTGGAAGTGGGCACAAACAAAAGGACTGGTGGGCAAGTAAAAGACTGGTGGGGGTGGAGGTGGTGGTGTAAGGCACACAAAATGAAGGACAAGATACATTAAAGGGGGAGAAGATACACCAAAGTTCTGGGAGAGAGACACACGCAATGGTGCTGGTAGGGAAGTAAAAGACACCCAAGACCCAACAGGGGTGTAAGACACACAAAAGGGCGACAAGTTACATTAAAGGGGGAGAAGATACACTAGAGGGGGTAAGACATTAAAAAGGAGACAAAAAACACAAAAGGGGTTAAGGAATTCAAAAGGAGGTGAAGATGCACTTTTGCAAAGGGGGCGGGAAAATGTATTTTCGCATGTGTAACGAAAGATCCTTGAATGCTGTATACATGTCTTTCTCTGACTGAATGTAGGTATGTATGTAGTGTACGTGTGGAATGTGTACTGAATGCAAATGTGCAATAAATTTATGTATTTGTGCCTGCATGCATGTAATGTGTACAACAGGTTAAAATAGCTAAACTGTGACTATAGCCCAACTGAAGAATTTATCCGACTCAGATTATTTTTGTATACATTTTACAATTAGGTTTTTCTTTCTCTACAATTAGCTATTTACTAAATAACCCCATTGTGTGTGCAAATGTGTGTTTGTATGTGAATTATATTAAACTATAGCATGTATACACAGCGCACACAGTGCCAGTTATTACGGCATGTAAATTACAATTATTTATATAGTGCCAACATATTCCATAGCACTGTACAATAGGTAAACAAGGCAAGTACAACACAGACAAACACAATATTCTAACAAAACATGATTGACATACTGGAGCAGTAGGTGAAGAGGACCCTACCCAAATGAGCGTACGATATATGGTATGTACACACAGCACAGACAGTGCCAGCCTCCCCTCACACACATTATTACACTATGACATGGATGCACAGCACACAAGTTATTACACTATCCCATGGATACACAGCACAGACAGTAACAGTTTTTCTTTCAGACACTCTACATTTCCTTACCAATCTGGCAGCTTGTGAGGATGAAAAATACTGTGAATAAACTTTTCATGTTTCTTTGTAATGTTTCTACCTTTTCTGAAGATCAGTGTCTCCTTTCTCCCTTGTACTCCCTTTTAAAGTTGCACTTAGTACAGCCCCCTCCCTGGTGTGATAAGATAATTTGCATGCAGTCTGATAATGTGAACATACATTGCCCTGGGTGTATGGTTAATACTGTCATGACATTCTATGTCTGTCAATGATACATCCAATCGCAGCATATGCTGTGGCTGAATTACCATATTTACTAAAATCTAATGCGCCATCAAATCTAATGTGAACCTCAATTATTGAAACCTGGAGACTGAAAAATGTTTTTGTTGGCAAGTATAATGCACATTTATACAAGAAAATACTACTATACAACATTTTATAGACCAAAGTAGCCAAACTGACAGCACAGCATTTTTCTAGTTTGGTTATTTTGGCCTTAGAGCAACATTATAGAATGTGCATTCCTGATCCTATAGAGTTATTTAGCTTGCTGGCCCCTTCTATACCCTCCTTAAAAAGTTGTAAAACTCACCTTTATTCCAGTGCCGTGCGGGTTTGCTGGCACTTGCTCAGCCCAGCTTGCTGAGATCATCAGAATTGAGATAATCAGAATTGACTATCTCAGCCATTCCAATGTATTCCTGTTAGAGAGTATTGGATTGGCTGAGATCATCAATTCTGATGACCTCAGCCAAAGAGGCGGAGTGGGGGTAGAGGGGACAAAGCCAAATGCTGCCTTTGCCAATCTCCTCATAAAGATACATTGACTCAATTAATCTCTATGGGGAATGTTCAGTATCTCCATGCAAAGCGTGGAGATGCTGAACGTCAGTGCTGCACATTGTGCAGCAATCACCCAGGAAGCATCTCTAGTGGCCTGCTGAGTGACTGGCACTGACGGTGTTACTAGGTAGCAATGAAACACTGCCCTTTCTCTGAAAAGGCAGTGTTCACAACAAAAAGCCTGCAGGGGCTGACTCACTCATTAAGCTGTAGTTGTTCTGGTGACTATAGTGTCCATTAAAATGTTGTCATTCTTTGTTTTATTGTAGTGCAGGCAGAATACAGGAAATATGCAGCAACATTACACAGCATGAAGTACAGAAGTTACAAATATGGGCATTAATACACCATTTTTATTATTTTTTATATTTTTTAAGCTCAGTTCTATAAGTAACGGACTGTAAGTAAATAAACAAGCTCAAGGAAGCAAGGTGAATGGTTAGAGTTAGGACCCACCTGGGGGGGTCTGCCTTGACGTTGGCAGGTGGGCTTATCCTCTCATGGCCATTGGAGGTGTGGCAAACCTAGCCACTTGGACATTATTTTGTACTGTCTCTTTAAGGGTTGCCGGTATGGGGTTCCTATTGTGTGTTATAGCGTGTAATGTAATGCAATGTTAATAATGTATTGCCTGCCTGGGCTATCTGCCGAACGCAGATAGCTGATTCCTTTCGTTTCACGAACGGCACCTTTGCAATCGGTAATTAGAGGCTCTCCTGGGTGGCCGTCGTTCGACTACCGACCATGCGGCGGGCGGCCATCTTGGATCCTTTGTTCCCTCAGCGGTGTTTGGTCGTCGAGCGCGTGGAACTAAAAACGGCTACTCGACGGCGCGAACACCGCTGAGCCTCCAGACCGTTCGGGAGGTCCGGGACATTCGGTTTCACTATATGTAATCGGTATTTTACGGCTATGTGTTAGTGAATGTGTTTTTCGTGCGGCGTTCGGTTGTTTTAGCTGGGATCTGAGCGGTAATCTCACGAATGATGCGCTCAGACCCCAGCTATCTACCGAACGTCCATTCGTTTAAGTGAACCAGATATTCATAGAGTTATTGAATTTAAGGTGAATTGTGAGTTCTGCTGCACGGAGGGATAATCCACTTAATGGTATATTCCTGGGGGAGGATCCCTCTCGTGCAGCAGTGCCTGATGGGATAAATGCCCTGTACTGTAAGTCCCCCATGTAGTCCCCTCTGGGAATGCCCCTGGGAGGGGACTCAGGAAACCCCTTGCATGGGGACTTGTATAAATTGTGGAGCTGAATTAAAAGACCTCAGTTGACTCCCAGCCTATGTGTCGTCTAGTTCTTGGGAAGGAAGGGTTACTGCAGTGCTGTTTGGATTATTGTATGCTGATTCCCTGGATTATCCTTTGTTGTTCCTGTTACCCAGCGGAGATATCGTGGATTATACTGCCTCTCCGCTACAGGAGGTAACTAAAAAACCTCCATTTGTTTAAAAATACATAGGGATTAAGGAGAGAGTGCAGGTAGCTTTCTTTGGTTTTTACTATATATTTGGGCTGATGTGTACTGTAGTCTTTGCTGCCGTCCAGTGATGGGAGTGAGCGCAGGACTTATCTTTTTGCATTTGATGGGTGCATCACTTCATCTGCTGCTCTTCTTACCCTGATGCACCCATCACTGGTGGTTACCCACTATCCTTCCAGTTTTTAATAATGCGTTGGACAGTTCTTAAGCCAATTTTAGTAGTTTATGCAATCTCCTTAGATGTTTTCTCTGCATGATGCATGCCGATGATTTGACCCTTCTCAAACAGACTAACATCTTTTCCATGACCACGGGATGTGTCTTCGACATGGTTGTTTAAGAAATGAGAAGCTACTTGTTGCATCAGTTGGGGTTAAATAACTTGTTGCCAGCTGAAAGATAATTAACTAATTGCTTAGTTAAATCTAGGTGGCAACTTTTTTTTTGGCCAGGCAGTGTATTTGTTCACACATTTTCTCCTCCTGCTTTCTGTTCATATTATTTATGGAAAAAACTCAAAAGTCATAGTGGTGAATTAATAAATCCAGAACAACGAATCTATTGGCTATCTGCTCTCTCATAACACATGAAAGATTTGTTCTGGGGAAAATCCAGAATACTTGAACCATATGAAATATCTAGCAGGGTAAGGCCTGTCGTTCTATAGCCATATTGACTTTTGCTTTGTTCCAGCATTGTCAAGACATGTCTCCAGTTTTGTGTATTTATATCAAGCGCTAATTTGTCAAGAAGCCCCAAGCTCCAATCTTGTATCTTGTTCCAGCCTTATCGATTCATGCTATGCCCTAATTTAACAAGTACTGTTATGAGCCAGCCTTACCAAACCATATCATAATTCAGCTATTCAATTAAAGGAGCACTATAGGGACAGGAACACAAACATATATTCCAGACCCTATAGTGTTAAAACGACCATCTGATTCACCCGTACCTCCCTAAATACAGTAAAATCTTAATTGTATTCATGTCTGCAGCTGCTACATCTGCCCCTGTTGGCCAGTGTACTGCCTGTGTGTGCTGACATCATCAGAAGTGGTGGTATGAGCCAATCACAGTGCTTCCCCATAGGATTGGCTAAGACTGTCGAGGAGGCAGATCAGGGGCAGAGCCAGCACAAGTCAAACACAGCCCTGCCCAATCAGTATCTCCTCAAAGAGATGAATTGAATCAATGCATCTCTATGAGGAAACTTCAGTATCTGCATGCAGAGGGTGGAGACACTGAATGGTAGTGCTGCTTACTGTGCAGCGCTGCCCCAAGAAGCACCTCTAGTAACCATCTGAGGAGTGGCCAGTGGAGTTATCACTAGGCTGTAATGTAAACACTGCATTGTCTCTAAATAGACCATGTTTACTGCAAAAAGCCTGAAGGTAATGATTCTACTTACCAGAACAAATGCAATAAATTGTTGTTCTGGTGACTATAGTGTCCCTTTAAGTCTTCTCCAGATGAATGTCAGTACTTTCAGTCTTGTTCCAGTTCTTTAAATGCTACCAATATAGAAGTCCCCATTAAGTCAAAAGGGTTATTGCAAAAAGTGAAAATGCAAAATGAATTCAGAGCAAATTTCTAATTTTAGGCCATTTCTGAATTCAGCCGTTTTTACCTAATGTTTATCCATCTAGACAAAATTCAGTATTCTGTGACTAACCCCGAGTGAGTTAATTCTACACATATGTAAGAAAGTAAATGAAAAAATGAAGTAGGTTTCTTTTTGCAACAAATGGATTCATTTGTTCTATTTTCATAATAAGTATGGCACAGGACTGCGCTGCCAAATTGTTAGGAGCCTGCCTGCCTAATTGTTTCGGATCTGAAAGTACTGAGCACTACTTTCATTTTCCTTACCTAATTTCACTCTTTTGTTTTTATTAATACATACACATTTATTTATCTCATTCACTACAGAGTTATTTTTGTGTAACATTGATTTGAAGCCAGGGTTGCACACTGAGAGCGTAAACTCAGGATAAAACAGATATTTTAATACATTTTTTTCAATGTTGTCAAGGTCATTCTTTTCTCATTCAAAAGTGTCAGGGAAGAGCTGTCTGTCCTCAATTTTATTCTCTGTCACGCAGCATCCCATCTAGCTGAAACCTTGCTTTGGGCAGATCAGTCATGATGGCTAATTCTAGAAAAATGTATATTTAATTCACACACAATTTCTTACCATTTATGGATTGATCTACCAGGGAACATGTATGGTGATCTACTCTTTACCACCTTACATTCTTATAAGCTGCGGTTGTTTTGTAAAATAGGATTTATGTGTTTGTGATTCCTAATTTAAAGGAGCACTATAGGGCAGGGATAGGCAACCTTCGGCACCCCAGATGTTGTGGACTACAACTCCCTTGATGCTAAGCCAGCATTATGGCTGTAAGAGCATTATGGTATGGTATGGTCATATGTTGACTAACCCTGCTATAGGGTCAGAAACACAAACAAGTATTTCTGACCCTATAGTGTTAAAAACACCATCTAGTGCCCCTGACCCCCCTAAATATAGTATACTCTTACTTTTATTCCAGTCTGCTGCTGGCTCTGTCCCTGATCTGCCTGCTTGGCTGACATCATCAGAAGTGGTGGCATTAGCCAATCATAATGCTTCCCTATAGGATTGGCTGAGACTGTCAATAAGGCAGATCAGGGACAGAGCCAACGCAAGTCAAACACAGCCCTGGCCAATCAGCATCTCCTCATAGAGATGAATTGAATCAATGCATCTCTGTGAGGGAAGTTCAGTGTCTCCATGCAGAGGGAAAAACTGAATGTCAGTCACATTGTGCAGCACTGCCCCAGGAAGCATGTCTAGCAGCCATCTGAGGAGTGGCCAGTGGAGTTATCCCTAGGCTGTAATGTAAACACTGCATTTACTCTGAAAAACAACAGTGTTTACAGCAAAAAGCCTGAATGGAATGATTATACTCACCAGAACAAATACAATAAGCTGTAGTTGTTCTAATAACTATTGTGTCCCTTTAACAAACAAAATTTGTGGGTACAAATAAATATTCAAGCAACTAATTATTAAAACAGCAGAACTCCACAATGAGTGACTAAGTGTTATATTATCAAATAAGTATATAAGCATAGAGTGCAGACGACACTCTCAAGATAGCTAGAAATACTACAAAAACAATGTATCTTTAAATTAGAATATAGTTTTTTAAAAGACACGATTTCAAGGCAAATCTCAACTGTCAAAATACACTAAATAATGTGCCAGAGCACTTTTTTTTGGAAAGTGCAAGTGAGTTTTAATTAAGCTTATTTAAGAACCAATTAATAATATAGCTGCTACCACACTGTGATGTATAACTCTCCTAAAAAACACACAACAAACAATATACTATATAACAATATACAGTGGTGCGCTAAATCGTAATGACTGGTAGAAACCATTATATATACCCCTGTTTATACCACACTGTGTATACCACTCCTTAGCACTTTATCTATTTAGTGATCTACTGTATATTGTTATAAAAATCTCAACTATTACATATAACTGCAAGATATATATCGAAGTAACCGTTACATAAACTTACCATGTACCATGTAACCTTCAACTGGAAACGGTTTAATATCATAACAAAGATATTAATTGCTACAGATGAGGTTAAATAGTAGCAATAAAGTAGATGGAAAAAGGTCACATCAACTAAGAGGTGAAAAATAAACTGCAGCAAAACAGGGGATATAAAATAAAATAATAAAATTAAAATTAAAAAAAAAAGTTTTATAAAATGATACACAATTATTAAACATTTTTTTGAACATATCTACGTCACTGGTTGTTGATCAACAGGTCAAATATCCAATATTGGTATGATAGCTCCAAGTACCTAAGGAGGAGTTGGGTGCAATAATTAGAAATCTTTTTAAAATAACATTATATATCTCATTAGAGAAAATGCTTGTAAGCGTAGGTCCGTTGACCGTTAGCTAGCAGAGAATTAAAAGCTCAAGGAACCCTATTCAAGACCAATCTCTTTCCCTACACAGTGTGTCGCTGTATCACATTTCTTGATACCACCTTTTTAAATTATTATTATTATTATGTAGCTGTGTAGCTATCTAGAAATGTCACCCTGAGCAGTTTTTTTGATGTTTACAAATATACAGAATATGATCACAATGAGACAATGCATTCTAAACTAAAATGAAACCAATCTATGCTTTGATCTATACATTTGATGGCTGCTTGCTTAGAAAAAAGGCCAACGTTAGCTTTTTAAAGTCAGTTTTAGATGACTGTCACAGTTTAAGCATGATACGGTTTGTACCATCATATATGTACTGAATCCATGATGAATATTGATGGAGAAATACTGATTGATTTTACAATTTCTGCTTCCCCTGCATGTTCTCTGCCTCCAACCCCCTCTGTACAGAGACCTGGGAGTGGCTTGTGTTTAACAAAGAGGAACCCAAGGACGCAGACACACACACACAGACACAGACATGAAGTGGAACAATATAATCGCAGTGTTTCTCGCTCTCCTGCTGAACTGTCAGATTGGTAAGAAACAATTGCATGAGATGAAAGTGGGTAAAACGCCTTTCCTGTATTCACAGAAGCCTAGGGTAGCATGCATGCTAGACGTTACCTTGTGCTATAAATACTGTGCGGATATCTTAGTGTAATGCGTATGAGTCTTGCACAGTATCTGCGCTGTGGAATATGTTGGTGCTACATAAATACTCATAAAGCAAGTATAGTATAGTAAGTCTGCTAGGTGCGACCATCTTAGATTGCCATTTGTTAGTGAGTTTCTCTGTCATCCCCGGATAGATATTCATGGCATCCCTAATTAAATCCCTAACATTTTTTTTATTTTATTTTTTTATGATACATTTTTACTCAGAATACCTAATGTTGCTTTATCTGTTATTACCCGGTAAAAAAAAACCCTGTGTACTTGTGTCAGAACGGTGTGTGGTTGGGGGAACGGAAAGGGACAGGAACACAGAAAAGAACATTTAGAGTCATTTCCAAGGAAACCTATGGAATCATTACGTTTTTTCCATATAGTAGGCGGCATGCATCAGTGACATAGCAAAGGAGTAGAAACATCTGTGGGCCCCATCATTTAACCATCTAATACAAGGATGCTGAGGTCTCTATAAGGTACCATTATAGCTCCTTTTGGATCTCATAATATGCGCAGAGTTTTATTGATGCAGTTTATTTATAGACGTTTGTTGGCAGAGCAATCTGGCGTTGGATTTAACACTTTGGAGTTAAAGTGTTGGTTAATGGCTTAACCCCTTGAGTTAAGGCACAGCCTGGGAATTTTTCCACGCCATAACAACTGCGTTCAGATGAAGTTGTTTAGTGTTTTCGAAGTGTCCCTTTAAGTCTGCGTGTGGCTAATGAGGTTTATGTGCAAGAGAGAGACAGATTGATTTTAATTAGGTAAGTGTGGATAATTATATGAGATGCAATCCTGGGACTCAAAAAATGTGTGTCCATTAGTACCACACTCTCTAGTCATTCCCGTCCATTTATTGAGGAGGGTCTGTTACTGCATCGATAGAGCAGCTCTGTACTTACAGCAAGGCAACTCAGCATTCATCCACGCCCGGGGCACAGCTGGTAAGGGGGGCAAGCTGCTACAGCACAATGCTAACTGTATTATGTGACTATATATATCCCTTTATAAGGACTGTGCTCCAGTTGTAAATTTGTATTTGAAATTTAGAAAGGAAGTGAAGTATAATGGGACAATGTGCTGGTTTGCCTTAAATTGGAACCTTTGTTCCTATCCCCCGGGGCGCACGTAGCCAGCCCTCCCTTGCTTATGGCATGTTTTCCACCACCTGCAGACTACAACTCTCAAAATGCTTAAGCAGCTGATATTCAGACAGCTTCCAGCATTTCACCTGCCATCAGAAACATAGAAACATAGAATGTGACGGCAGATAAGAACCATTCGGCCCATCAGCTAGCATTGTCATGATTCAGGCTGGCTTGCTGATTATGGGAAACACAGCCCATGCCAGTTGCTGTTTCAGTAACAGTCTAACCCAGGAACCTCGATTCCTTGAAATGTCTCCATTCTAATGATCATCAGCCAGGGGTCACGAACAGCTGAGTGTGTATCTTTACAGCGATTTCTGGTAGACTGGTATCTGACATGGGATAAGCAAGCCATAAATGATATAAATTTTCAAGGCATCTCTGTTATTCTGTCACAATCTGGGAAGGGTCTGATAAACATGAAGATATACCAAGGGTAAATCAGTCTCTGTCCTCTATTTCAGCTGACAGATTGATACAATATACGTTCAGCTGCTACAGTGCTGGGACAGCCAGGCTGTTTGTGTTGAATCTGTGTCTATATATATTGCTGTCTAAGGGCGTCCGAGCTATAAATTCTATATCCTGCAGTACAGTGCGTAAGAGAGGGTGAGGGACACACAGGATGAATTCTCACTTTCTCTGTGATGTGCTTGAAGGCCAGTGCTATGTATGGAGGAAGGAGGAGACAGGGAGAGAGCTGGCACTACCAAAACTGATCTGTATTAGGATGGACACAGCGAGAAAAAAAATCATTCGGAAAATAAATCAGACAAACAAAAAGGGTGCAAAAATGGGCCAATCAGTGTACTGCAAAATAAGAACCATATCAAGGAGCAATACAATTAAAGAAAAGGTCAGACAAATGATGTAAAAAAACGAAATGTGTTAATTTAAATGACTAACTTACGTAGCTAAAATGAATCATAGCATTCCATAGATATGAATGCCTCTGGCGTTGCCCAAAATCTTAGTTTAATATATTGTATCCACACCAATCACATGGTGCAGTGCGTGAGCTCAAAGTGAGCCTTTATTGTACCAGTGTTAGCATATCAGATTAAGGCCAACAGGATCAATGAAAGCATTTATCGATCGTTGCAGCAACCATTATCAGCAGAACGAGATTCCGCAACGGAACTTCTGATAAGAAGAGAATGAAGCAATCTTTATACACAAAAAGAGAACTGCGACCATAATGCAAAACAATATAAAAAATGTTGCACACCCTTAAAGCAACTGTGTCACTTTGTAGGTTTTGTTTTTAAAGTAAACCTTTGTGTCCCTCTTTTTTTCCTTGCTTTTATTCTTGTAAAATTCACCTTAGTTTTTTAAAATTATACATAAAAGACAAAGTAGGGGCTAATTTTTCTAATGGGAGTGTGATCTCCATTTAACTTGCTAAGCTAATTCACCCACAATCCATCAGTCAAAAGAATCCCATAAAAGGGCTAACTGTAGACATAACAGACAGAGAACAAAATGGCAGCACCCAGGTAATTAAGATATGGTGTAAGTAAGAAATCACTATAAATATAAATAATGGCAAGCAGCAAGAGTGAGAGTTTAGTCGTTAAAGGACCACTATAGTGCCAGGAAAAAAAACTTGTTTTCCTGGCTCTATAGGGTCTTTGGGTCCACCCCACCCTCAGGGTCCCACTCCCGCTGGGCTGAAATGGGAGGAAGGGGTTAAATTCTTACCTTTCTCCAGCGCCGGGCTCCCTCGGCGCTAGGGACTCTCCTCCTTCTTACGAGCCGCGCGCACATTCAGTCAGTCCATAGGAAAGCATTTCTAAATGCTTTCCTATGGATGTTGGCGTCCTCTCACTGTGAAAATCACAGTGAGAACTGCGGAAGCACCTCTAGCGGCTGTCAAAGAGACAGCCACTGGAGGCTGGATTAACCCTAATGTAAACATAGCAGTTTCTCTGAAACTGCTATGTTTACAGCTGCAGGGTTAAAACCTGAGAGACCTGGCACCCAGACCACTTCATTAAGTTGAAGTGGTCTGGGTGCCTATAGTGGTCCTTTAGGATGCAGGGGGCATAAGGAAAGGAAAAGTGAAAGAAAAAAACAAACATGGCAGTGCCCCTTTAACCTTTTCATTTCTATTTTTGGCTTAGAGCGAGTTTGCAGCCCTTGAAAAATCCCCCATCCCGTCTGTGTTACTTTATCTCATCACACATGGCTAACTTATTACACAATGCAACCAAACACGCCTGTCAAGCTCCCGCGTTCCCATTCCAGATAAGTTTTGTTGCAAAAAACTTTCCAAAAAGCAGATATTCTTGCAAAGTTTCTGAGTCTCTTGAAATGATAAAAAGTACAAAAAACAGCAATTTAACCCCTTAAGGGCCAAACTTCTGGAATAAAAGGGAATCATGACATGTCACACATGTCATGTGTCCTTAAAGGGGTTAAAGCAGCATTGTGATCACCCTCCTCTGCCCCCAAAAATGAGTATTACATAAAGATATTATAAAATACTCATGTTGACTGTGTTGGAATTTCACTAAAACGTTGTGAGCAGGCGTTATTGGCGGGCAGAAGGTTAAAGTTAATGACAAGGTTGGTTTGGGTAATTAATGGTCTCTAGAGACTACTGGCTGGTTTTAAAAAAAGAAAGATTACAGCAGCTATTTACTGTCGAGAAATGTGTAGCATAAAGCAGATATTTTTAGGAACTGAGCAGAGAAATGCAAAGTTTGGGGAATCTTTCCCACTAGGTCAGCTGATTATTATTATTTATAAAGTGTCAGAATGCCACAGGGCTATCCATTGGGTGCTCAAACAATAAAGCAGTTTGTGACGGAGCTCCAGTACTCCGACCGAGCACCTTGGCCAAGTCTGCTTCCTCTCCCTGCTTGGGAAACAATAGGACAGGAAGAAGGGGAGGGGGAGAGGAGCAGACAAGCAATACATTAAACATACCCCGCACCAATAATGGGCACAGGGCGACCAAAATACAAAAGGAATCTGGGGGCCCACACATAGTGTCTGTCTTCCATCCCCAGTGACTGTGACTACCGTCACACAGTTGATTTGACACACAAGAGTGATACCAAAACCTTGACAAAGTTAAACATTATAAACAGTGTCCGATTCATTGTATTCTTTTCAAAATCTTGCAAATTATAACATTTTTAAAATGGCAAATCTTTACTGCAATTCTAACATTATTTCGCTTGTTTCTGATTTAGTAAATACAAAACAACATCCACTGTTATTTTTAGAAATGATGAAAAGAACACCACAAATATGCAAGGAGTTTAAAAATATATTATACTTATACACTAATTAGACACAACGTTAGAACTACCAGCCATCGTGTAGATACCCCTCGTGCTGCCAAAACAGCTCTGATGGATGGAGGCATGGACTCTGAACGCATCCTGTGGTATCTGGCACCAATACATTAGTAACAGATCCGTTAAGTCCTGCAAGTTGTGAGGTGGGGCCTCCATGGATCGGATTTGTTGTTCCAGCACATCCCACAGACGCTCAATTAGATTGAGAGCCGAGGAATTTGGAGGCCAAGGAAACACCTTGAACTCTTTATCATGTTCCTCAAACCATTCCTGAATCAATATTGCTGTGTGGCAGGGTGTGTGGCGAATTTAAATATTTTACATGCTACACTATTAGTGTTTTTTTTTAATGGTTTTGTATTGTAGAGGTTATAATACTGAATTTATTCAACAAAAATATAAGTAGCTTTTATTATATTTTTATTACACTTTTTTTGCACACTGTTGAAAGAGGTCACAGCCTGACATCTCGCCATGAATGGGTGTATGTGGTCTGCTACAATCTCTAGGTAGGTGGGATGCAACAAAGTAACATTTACATGAATGCCCGGCCCAAGGCTTCCCAGCTGAACATTGCCCAAAGCATAACACTGCTTCCAGAGGCCTGCCTTTTTCCCATAATGCATCCTGCTGCAATCTCTTCCCCAGGTAAATGACACATACTCACCCGGCCATCCACGGGATCTAAAAGAAAAAATTATTCATCAGACCAGGAAAACTTCTTCCATTGCTCCATTGTCCAGTTCTGGTGCTCGCGTCCCCATTGACGGGGCTTTCAGAGGTGGAAAGGGGTCATCGTGGGCACTCTGACTAGTCTGTGGCTAGACACCCCATATGCAGCAAACCGTGATGCAGCATGTGTTCTGATATCTTTCTATTATGACCAGCATTCAGCTTTTCAGAAATGTGAGCTAAAGTAGCTCTTTTGTGTGATCACACCAGACAGGCCAGACTTTACTCCCCAAGTGCATCAATGAGCCATGGACGCGCATGACCCTGACACTGGTTCACCGGTTGTCCTTACTTGCACCACTTTTGGTAGATACTAACCACTGCATTCCAGGAACAGCACACTTTCCAATTTGAATATCCTCTGACCCAGTGTCTAGCCATCACTATTTTGCCCTTGTCAAAGTCTTTTCGCTTGACCATTTTTCCTGCTTCCAACACATGAAATTAATTAATCTTAATTTGTTTCCTAAAATATCCCACCCTTTGACAGGTGCCATTGTAACGATAAAATCAATGTTATTCACTTCACCTGTCAGTGGTTTTAATGTTGTGGCTGATCAGCATATAGCACTAAAACCTCACACTCTCCCTCACAAATGTGATAAAGCAAAATATATATCTTAAAAAATTACATTATAGATATATATATATAGTACTGCGCAAAAATAAAGTGCAGAGAACTGAGCAGTGAGACTGCAGGGGCGCATCAAAACTGCTTCATTAAACTAAGGTTGTTTTGTTGCCACGGTGTGTCTTTAAGTTTGCATTTTGATCATAAAATGTGAAAGTCCTTCTAGGAAGAATTCACTGACTATTGTTAGTAAAAATATCATAATAATGCAAAAAATCTAGCCTTTGCAATGAGTGTATATTAGCACAGGCCCCTCTAGTGGCTCCACGTGGTACTGCTGATAAACAAAAAAAATCTTTGGCCCAAATTTATCAGAATTAGTGCGTTTGTCCCCTTTTTCTCTACTGATGCTTGTTCTTCTAGAGGACCTAGGGCACTGTTGATCATGTTGGAATGGGATAGTTTCAGTGCAGAAAAATAACCCAATAAAATAAATTCATTATTCATGTGCTTGGAGAAAGCATCGAGTCCTTGTACAATTCTTTTTTTAAATGTATGTTTCTTGTGCTAATGTGATATCTGTATGTGTCACACAGAGGATGTTTCCATTTTTAACCACGTTGTTCCTGTCTCCCTAGGTCATACTCTGGACTGCTATACATGTGAGTATGGCATTTGCTTGCTCCCCATCAAGAAAACTTGTGGCACGTTCGAGGTTTGTGTGACAGAAACATCAAAACTTGGTGGTGAGTACTGCAGACTATCAACTGCTGACACAGGAATGGAGGGAGAAAGAACTGTATACTGCATGTATAACGAGTGTAAATCAGGCATTGTCAGGGCATGGATTGTCTAGAGCAGGGAGAACAAAATGCCAGCGCTGAAGGAGAGAATGTGGCACAGACACACAATGACACACAGAAACACACACAGGCACACACACTGACACAGTTAAACACACAGATACACATGCTGGCACACAGAGAAACTGACACGCAGATACAAACAGACACACAGATAAACCCACAGATACACACACAAACACACTGACACACAGATACACACACACAGACACACAGGCTGATGCACAGATACACACAGAGAAACTGACACACAGATACACACAGAAAAACTGACACACAGATACAAAAAGCCACACAGATAAACACACTGACACACAGATACACACACAAACACACTGACACACAGATATACATACAGACACACAGGCTGACACTCAGATACACACAGAGAAACTGACACACAGATACACACAGAGAAACTGACACACAGATACAAACAGACACACAGATAAACACACACTGACACAAAGATACACACACAAACACACTGACACACAGGCACACAGGCTGACACACAGAGAAACTGACACACAGATACAAACAGACACACAGATAAACACACTGACACGAAGATACACACACAGAAACACTGACACACAGATACACACACAGACACACATGATGACACACAGATACTCACAGACAAATAGACACAGAGATACAAACAGACACACAGATAAACACACCGACACACAGTGTTAGCTGGGAGAAAGTGACTGGCTCTCACTTCCTTCCAGCATTGCAGTGATTACAGGGGCCCAGTCACACTATTATAGAGTTGCACCGTACAATCGGGCCCCTGAAAACACATTCCCATTGGGTGGTCCTACATGCATGGGCCCGCTCAGTGTGTGGGCCCTGGAACAGTTGTATTTCTGCCCCTGCATGCAATATAACTGGGCATTGGACGATTGCCAGTGTGAAATATACCAGAGCATGTTTAGGTACGACAAAGGAGGAAATGACTGGTCTGGGCTTGACTGGAGCCTGCAGTTGGAACTTCTTGATGGCTGTCAGTGTGATAGATAGTATATTTATTTGTAAACAAGTATTTAAAAAGTACTTTGGCGCTTCAAAAAGTATTTGTAAAGCAAGTGGATTTAAAGTGCTCGTGCAACTCTAAACAAAGTGACCTCACGATCGCACATCAAGTTTAAATTCAACGACAAAGCTGTAGCGATCACAGTGCACAAGGAACACGTGGATTATATTCCCCACAAATAACCAAATTCCAGGTGGGAACACTCCCCAAATATAACTCTAGAAGCACCGATGTTCAGCATTCATATAATAACAGAATTCCAGATGAAAGTATCGCACTTCTGCAACTCTGAAAGTGCTGATATTCAGTCCTTTACCATTATTTATTTATGTAACAATTCCTATATCGTGCTCTTACATTGAGTAACTATACAATGAGCGAAAATAACTTTTTGATTTAGTCATTGTGCTGCAATATATTTGGATAAATAGATAATACTAAATAATGTTAGACTAGAAAAAACTGTAAATTTGTGAACATACAAGAGAGTAAGATTACATAAAACAAACTATAAAGCGATAAAAGCTTTCCACTGATTGGGTTATGGCTAGCGGAGGAACAGAATGAAAGATGCACAGGTAGGGACCGAGGAATATTGGTAAGGAAGCAGATTAAGTTGACTGAAGGAAGCCAATCAGAGGGATGAGTTATTTAGTATCAGAGAATGTTCGTTGTGTTTTCAGAAGTTTGAGAAAGGATGAGAGGAGTGGCTGACCGGATGTAAGGTGGGTGCTTGTCCTTGTAGTAGGGGGCTAGGATTGTGAATGAGCGGAATTGAGTAGGAGCACGTGGGTACAGTTAGCATGTCTTGTGATAGAAATGATTGATAAGATATGGCGTATGAGAACATTGCAGTACCTTGCATATGAAAGGCCTTTTTAGATTATGTCGGAGTGTAGCTGTCACTGTATTAATTGGGTTTCTAGAGGCTAAGAGGGTTGTGATGTCTAGACGTGGCATAGGGTAGTATGGCATACTCTGATTTGGGGAATTTTGTGGTTAATCAGTATTTGTTCATTTTATCTTCTTGGCAGGTGTGGTTAATATGAAGTCGAAAGGCTGCATGAACCCCTTTAACTGCATGACGGACTCATCTGTGTCGATAGGTGGCATAACTATGACTACCAGCCCATCCTGCTGCTTCTCTAGCCTCTGCAACGCAGCCGTCACACCCAGGGTGTCTATTATTAGTGCGATGGCAGCCATATTGTCTCTGTGGATATGTAGAATGTTCTAAGCCAGCACTAAGTGTCTCATCTTTGCTGCTCTTTCACTGCCAACTGATCGTTTTGCCATTGCCTTATACAATGTTACCCGTTCCTGTCCTTCAAAGGGTCAAGGAAAGGACTTGTCCTTCACACCGAATGTTTCATACAACTAACTGTATCAGATGCCTCATCACTAACATGGAATACTCATTTTAGACTTCCTCCCCACTACCAGATGGCGCAATATACTATGCAGGGATTTCCCCTCCACTAGCGGCAGCCCCAACGCTATTCCATCTTTTTTGTTTATTTAGCGAGAAGATGGCACCCTCCACATGCCTGCTATATCACATGTTATGTTATAGGCAACACATTGCAACATAAATACTACTTTGCTCGTGTTTGTAGATAAGAATTATGATGCACTTTCAGGCCACTTGCTTGTTTATGGTACTAACTAAATATTCATGCTGGCAGCCATATTGTAACCACGAGTCAGGACTCATTTGCTGTTGAATTTATGTCCCTGTATCGATGCTGTAACATAGCTTCTCATGCAGGGCTTTCTCACTTCCTTTGAACGGTTTAGTTGCAATTAGTTATTAAACTTATGTTTTCCATTTTCTTGTCTTCTTTTTTAATCTTCACGTAAAACAACAACGACCTGCAGAGGATTCTGGGAGTTATGACTCACTAATTGTGAAACAGAAAGTTGCAATCTTATGTTCTCAGTTATCAAGGGCAAATAATACAAAAGGGGAT